CTACCCACACCTCCGTCCAACTCAGTTACAAATTCTGGGGTTCCTACGACCCCTGCCCCCTTCAGGTACAATAATTCACATAGAATGACACATAGAACTTAGGAAAGCACTATATTATTACTATTTTGTTGTAAAGGATACAAATGTACAGCTAGAAGAGACACATAGGGCAGCAAGGTCTGGAAGGGTCCTGAGCCTAGCTTATGCCTCCATGGAGCCAGGGTGCACCACCCCCCGTCACACCAGTATGTTCACCAACTCAGAAACTCTCCAAACTTCATTGTTCAGAGTTTTTATTGAGGTTTTATCACAGGCACGATTGATTAAATCATTAGCCCCATGATTGAAAGCAATCTCCAGCCTCTGTCCTTTCCCTAGAGGTGGGGGGTAGGCCTGAAAAGTTGGTTGGTTTTTCTGAACAGCCACCATCCTGAAACTATCTCACGGCTCTCAGGGCTGGCAATGAGTCAGTCACCCTGCTAGCTTAAACTGAGGCATGCTTCAAAGGAGCTTGTTATGAATAACAAGACACTATCACTCAGGAAATCCCAAGGGTTTTGAAGCTCTGCGCCAGTATATACACACACACACATGTATATATTTTATATATACATTATACTGTACTCTTGTATAAAATCAGAAGGCATCCAATTTTAAGCCCTAAGTGATTTTTCTGGAAGGCAGGAACTGAGTTTTACTTCTGAGGTATCCACCGAGCTGTATTGCACTCAGTATTGCTCGAACACTGAATGGCTCTTTTTTCTAATTTATTATTATCTGTTGAATTTTAGCAGTTTTAGTTTCTCCCCTCCTCCATACAATTTGTTGTATTTACTGAATAAATTAATTTTTCTTCATTTTCAAACTATGATTTAAAAATGTTGTATTTTTTCTCGTCCACAGTATTAACTTCACATTTTGTTAGATAAACACTCGCTCAGTACAAAAAATTCAAATAACATATGGAAAGAAAAAAGGAAAATATTACCTGAGATTCCACCGGCATCGGAATTTGTCCTGTCAATGCATTTTTATAGTTACATAATAATGTTAAATAAATGGGATCATCTCACACATTTTTAAAAAGTATGAAGCGCATTTTGAAAATAGGCAGGGTTCTTACAGGGTGTTCGATAACTTCCAGGTACCTGTTTCCCTCTCTGCTGTCCTCACTGATAACGCGTGCTGTGCATCCTTCCATAGCTTTCTGTACGCAACGTGCACACGTATGTATGGAGTTTGTTTTGCAAAAACAAGATCATGTAACAGATTTATCTGCTTTTTTTTCTCACTTAAAAACGAGACAGCACATTAGTCTTTCCAATTCAGCTGGTATGGGTTAACTGCTTTTCAAGGCTGCTTTATTCAGAGTTGTGGATATTTCACCTTGTGCAACCAGTCACATATTGATGGAAATTCACTGATTCCGGGTTTTTGCCATTATAAACAATGCTGCAGTAAAGGCAAAAGACCTTGAACACATTACATTATATAATCACATGCCTTGCTTTGGGGGAGATTCCTGGGAGAGGGATTGCTATATTGAAAGGGTTTATTATTTTTCCTGAAAGGGGTACAATTTTAATAGACAACAGAATGCTTTCCAAAAAAGAACTTCACAGTAGTAGGTGTCAGCACATTTGTCTTTTGCGCTTTTGAAGGTTATATAAAGAGATTCCTTATTGTCACTTTAATTTTCATTTTCCTGCTAAGGGGGTTGGTACCCTTTTATGTGTTTTGACTATTCAGACGTGCTTTTCTGAAACTTGCCTATTTGAAGTCTTTGCTCATTATCTACTGTTTTTGTCTTTTCTAAAATTAGTTTTTAAGACTTCTTTGCATATTAAAGATATTAGCTCTTTATCGTGTGGCAAGTATATTTTTCTAATTTATTATTGTCTGTTGAATTTTTATCAGTTTTAATTTCTTTGGTAATCAAGTATATCTTTATAGTTCGTTTCCTGTATCCATATACTCTCTACCCCTAGGTTACCACGATAGCCACCTACATTGTATTGTTTTACTGTTTAAATTCAGGACTTTATACTATTAGCTAAATCCACCTTTGTGGTATTTTTACCTATATACGGGAAGTCTATTTCCGGAGACTTTTCCACTAATTTGTCTTTCCTCCATCATACTATTTCATTGTTTTTTATACCGTATTATCTGGAAAGACAAGCTCCTCTTCAATTCTGTTTACAAGCCTCCCCGCTATGTTGTTGTTATTTTATGTGAATTTAAGATGATTTAATTAACCACCACTCCGCTCGGATTCTGAGACTGCACTGTATTTGTAAACCAATTTTAGAATTGACAACTTTGTATCCTTTTCCACCTAAATTATGTGTTCTATCGGCTCAAATGTTTTTAATCTTTCAATAAGACTCTTTTATAGCCTTTTTCCTTCATTTTTTTATTTTTTTCAAAGAAAACAGGATGTCTTTTTACCTGCGGCGTCAACGGATCGGGTTTACGGGCACGCACTGGCCCCGCCCCCGGGTTACCATGGGAACAGAGGATTGACGTCACTTAGGACTTCCGCTCCGGACCCAGGGGCTGACCGTGAAAGGGGGAGCGGAGAGGCGGCTTTGCCTCATTTACGCATGCGCGCCCCTGCTCCACTCCTCCCCGCCGTAAATCTCATCCGGCCGTGGCTTTTCCGCCGCGACCTCTCGCTTACTCCCAGCGAAACTGCTCCCCGGAGAAGGGGAGTGGAAAACGAATCGAACAAGCGACAGCCAATCCCAGGACACTACGACGCAACCCAATTTGACTGATTCCATCAACTTCAGCCAATGAGAACGCGCTTGGTGCCTACGTCATAGAGTTCGCCCCACCCTAACCCCTCCTTTCTGGACTCCGAGCTCAGTTCGCGCAGTAACAAATGAAGTGCGCGCTGCGACACCTCCCAGCTCGCTAGGCTCGTCCGCCATTTCCTCGCCTGGCCTAACGGTCCGGCCAATCCCAGCGCGCATCGAGAAGGACGGAAGCTCCGCCAATCGGAGGCCGTCGATTACGACCCTTCGCCTCGGCCCGGCCCAATCCAGGCCTCGGCCCCTTCGCCCCCGGCCCGCCCCCGCGGCGCCCTCTCTCCTCCCTCTTTGTGCGTCTCGCGCCGCCGCCGCCCGCCGC